GGAAGGCCTGCTCTGAGTGTGGGCAGCACCACTCCACAGGCTGGCCCTGGAGAGTACGAGAATGAGGAAAGACAAGCAGATAAGGATGCAAGGATGAGTTGATTACCTTTGCTCTTGATGCCGAACTTAAAATGACTTCAGTTTCTGCCTTAACCTCCCTCCCAATGATGGGATGCTACTTGGAATGGTAAGCCAAGTAAACTGCTTCCTCTCCTCTGTTGCTTTTGATCAGGCTCTCGTATCACAGCGACAGAAGGGAAATAGGATAGTGGATGGACAAGAAATGCTGTGCTCCCACGGACTAGATGGCAAGGGAATCTCTCCAGACTTTCCAAGGGGACCATCCTGAGCTTGCAGTTGAAAGGGGTGTGCTAGAGTCCCTGGTGCGCTCAGGAAACAGCTGGCATCGGGTTTGGCAATAAGGACTAAAGCTTCTCTGATACTCAGAGGTCAGACAGCTCATGAAGAATCTGCCATAATGGTGCAGGGTGCTGCTGGGCACGTGGCTGACTAGAAATACAGATGAGAGATCAGCCTGTGATTCAAATGTCAGGGCTGGGGGTATCTGCAGGCTGATCTAAACTAGGATTTTTTTTTTTTAAGACAAGAGATAAGATCCAGGCTGGCCTCAAACTAGCTATGTAGCTGAAGATGACCTGAGACTTCTGATCTTACTGCCTCCAACTCCAGAGTGCAGGACGACAGGTGGGTATCACCACGACCCCCAGTTTGTGAGGTATTAGAAATGGAACCCAGGACTTTGTGAATGGAGGCAAGGATTCTGTCCAATGAATCACATTATCAGCTCTTGAAGGAGGCTTTGGCAGCCCAGATGTACCATGGGGACCCACACTCAAAAACGCAACAGAGTCAAGGAGATTAGAATTTCAAAGGGATTGACAATTCAGCTTCCATGACAGAGTCTGCATCAGCGAGGAGTCTCTGCAAGGCTGATACTCAATCTGGGGTGAAACCCTTCACTCTTCTTCTTCACAAGTTGATTCTTTCTCAGTGTTTTGTTTGGGGAAGTCTTCATTCACTTTAATTTATGGAAAGTATTTTCTTTGAGTCTAGGATGGAGTATAGCTAGTAGACCTCCCTCCAGAGAAAAAGCTGTCTCTTCCATGCCGCCCAACCTGAACAGCTTGGGATGAATGCTTGCTGCAATTCTCTGTGTCTCTGAGTGCTACCCTGCTGAGTTTTGTCATCAACAGCACGCTCCTCCACCTCAGCCTCCTCAGGGTGGGCTCTTAGGTATTCCAAAGGGACACATAGTCAAGCAGAGGGTACTGCTATATTCTTTCATGTTTTTATATCATAGAAAAAAAATTTCAGATTAAATTTTAGGCCAGGTACACTCATTTAATCCCAGCACTGGGAGACAGAGCCAGGTGGATCTCTATGAGTTTGAGGTCAGTCAGCCTGGTCTACAAAGCGAGTTTCCAGACAGCCAGGCTATACAGAAAAATCCTGCCTCAAAAAATTTTTTAGGGTTTTCAGTTTCAAACTCTGTATTCTCCAGAAAGATTTAATTATTTATAATTGGGTTTAAATTAACTTTTCTCTTTTAATTCCAAAGATGTCTTTATATATTGAGAATATAAACACGCATTTTCACATTGAAAATTTCCTCCCATTTTTGTTGTCATTTAGCTTGGTGATAGCACTTTGGTTTGTTGGTTTCTTTCCTTTGGCCTCAAATTAGTTTAATTGTATTAAAGCTAATTCAAATTTGTCAGTATCTTAAAGCTTTTTCTCATGTAAAATATTTAAACATTTTTCTCTATTCCAAGGCTATAGAATATGTGTGTGTGTGTGTGTGTGTGTGTGTGTGTGTGAGAGAGAGAGAGAGAGAGAGAGAGAGAGAGAGAGAGAGAGAGAGAGAGAGAGGGAGGAAGGGGGAGAGAGAGATTAGGAAGGGTCATCTACAGGGGAAAAACCAAAAGGAACTATATTTACTGAATTGGCTTCCACACGTGGCTGGATAGTCCAACCATGACTGCCTTGATGCTGGAGAACCAGAGAGCCAGGTTCCCAAACCAGGACTCTCAGTAGGTTTAAGGATGTGTTGAATGCCCAGAAGCTCTCAGAAGAGTCTACAATGGAAGGCTGGAGGAGCTGGGCTCTGATGTCTAAGCTGTTTACTGGAAGCTTCCACCCGCCTTGGGGAGGGGTTTTCTCCCAGCAACTGCCCCACATGACAGTCCTCACTAATCCCAGTCATATCTCGGCTCAGGCCAGCTGACCATCAAGACTAAACCTCCCAGGACTCATGTGTCTCCTAGGAAACACAGATGCCACCAGAAGAACTCATCCTATGTCGAGTGTGAGTGTGGCTTTGAGTCAGTCTTCCTTTCTCTACAAATACAAAGCACTGCCTCCATTGCCGAATGGCTCAGGCAAGGTTCAACATTATTAGACTTTTGATTTTTAATTCAACTAAGCAAAACAAAGCAAAGGGCTCAAATTAAATTATTAGCTCTACTTTTCATAATAACAGACTTGAATTGGTAATTCAAGTATCTCAGCGCTGATACGTAAGCTAATTAAAAAGTGCAGTAAATTGGATTCAGTAGTAGCTTAGAATTCACATTTAACTGAGTGGTTAGAACTCAGTCGGTGCTCAGCACAGCAGGGGCTGGTGTGCAGATGGGCAGGACTCCACCTGCCTCAGGCGGACTTCCTGATTGCTGCGCCCAGCATCCTAGAGGCGCGTGTTCCTAGCTGCAACAAGGATTCCAGTGGTCGCTGTGTCATTTTATTTTCCTTTGAGAAAGACTTCCTGGGATCATGCACTGTTTTAGGGAAGTTTCTGGGATGTGACAGGGTCTTTGTGAACAGTGTGGATACATTGCAACCCAGTAATGAGGAGACTGAGTCTTTAATGATGAAGGACAAGACAGCTCTCTGCAGAATAATTCTGTTCTTCCAAGAGGAACGACTTCAATAGCAGGATATCTGCAGCTTTCACGGAGGGGATTTTCTATTACATAGCTCAATAGAAAAACTGATAACTGACAGCGAGAGGCCCAGTCCCCTTTAGCCACCCCTCCAGCCCCTACCCCTGGGCTAGGCAGCTTTAATAGCCTGCTGACACCTTCTAGTTTATGGGACGGCACAGCTATTCAGGAAGTGCTTAAACACCGAAGGGTCCCAAGAGCGCAGGAGGAGGAGATGATGGTCAGCCTTGAGACCCTTACCCAGCGAACTGCCCAGCTTGTCTCCCCTCACATTTGCTTTCCTGAACACTGCCAAAGGTACCCAAACTGCCTGTGCACAGGCGAGAACAGACTCTCAAAGAGATGAGCAAACCCATGTCTGTTTTCAGCATCTGAATCACTCTGTAGCTAGGAGGTGTTTGTCAGTCACTCCTGCTGGGAAATTCTATGGTGTGAAAAGGAAACAATAATGAGAGGCCTGTCAGACCCAGTTATTTACAATTATTTTTTGAATGCAATTTTAGAATAATCAATTTCATTTGAAACAGTCTTTGAATATAAATAAACTCTAGAATAAAAATGGTCTATTTATGTAGCTTATTAGAAAATAAAAGCTCCGGTTAACGTAAGTGGTTTCTATGTCTGGTCTTAATGCAGTCCAGAGCATCCTCCTCCATAGCAATGGCTCTGCCCCCAACCCAGCTGGACCTGGATAGAGGCAAGCTGAGGAACAAGGTCAGTTCAATTTACATGAAGCCCCTCTCTGCTCCCCAAGAAAGGAGGTTGCTCACATGGGCCTCCCCGGGCTGCATGGCTCCCCCAGTAAGATTCTGCAGCAATTCAACTTTTAAATTGTCATTTTGAAAGCTAGTGCTCACGAGTTATTGGGATTAATGGGAGAATTTATGGTAGTGTTGCTGCCTTGCTGCACTGAGTACCAGGCTAGGTGGAGGATACAAAAGCTGACCCCTCTGATCAGAGCTTTGAAGTGTCACTGTGCATCATAGGGAACAGCCTGTCACCTGCTGCTGCCCACTTACACAGGACGGGCATCTCAAGACGGGAAGCGAGGAGACACCAGGTGGTTCTCAGCGTTTATAACCAGCCTCCCAGACACACTGGGCACGCCATCAGGGAAACTGCCGAGAGCAACTCTGTTGTGCATAGTTCAATAGCTAATTTCCCCAGTGGGCTTTAGTTGTTTATAGTTCAGAAGCTAAGCTTATCAATGATGGGCCTTTGAACAAATATACAAAGTCTATTGATCTTATGTCTGTGAAAACAAGCCATTTCCTCCACCTTCACCCAAACCTGCTATCTCACCGCTCACTTGTGAAGTGAGAGTCCACAGAAAAGCCCCTGCTCAGATACGTCCTCACTGACAGCCACACACCCAAGCTGTCGCTTGAATAGAAACATGTCCCTCTTAATGCAAACGTTGGGGTGATGCGCCTGGTCCTGATGTATAAAGGAGGCTTCAAATCAGACACAGGTGGAGGCAGAAGGATCAAAAGTTCCAGGTCATCCGTGGGACATAGTGAGTTTCAGGACAGGCTGGGCTACCTCAACCCCTCCAACCCCTCTAAAACCAAAGCCAAAACCTAACCAGACACAGAACTTGCCCAAGCCTATTTCCACAATTACGAAATAAACAACCGAAGTCTGAGTGGTCATCCAACTGGTTATCCGACACCAAATGATCAGTTCTTAAGACACATAACAAATAACATTATATAAACCGAGCAGGCTGTACTTAGGGATCAGTTAATGAAAAGAGAGGGCACAAACTTGAAAGAGAAAAAGGAGGAGTATATGGCAGGGTTTGGAGGGAGGAAAGGGAAGGAGAACAAGATATAATTACATGATAATCCTGCCAAGTAAAGGAAATAATCCTTAAAAATATTGTAATAAAAATATCCTAAGATATCAGTGAGACAAAAAGAATGGGATAACTGATGGCATAGGCTCTAACAGTGTCAACTTAAATTCAAAGTGAGGCAGCTCACCCACGGCTAACTAGCTTGGGGAGGGAGAGAAGACAGGAGAGAGAAGACGCCTTACGTTTGGTGGTCTCCAAGTGGCCTTTGTACAATGGACTTCAGCAGGGGCTCTGGCCGGAGGGTCACCTTGGGAGATGTTTTGGGGCTGGAGTCTGACTCTCCACTCTCCTCATCACCCATGGCTTTGATGTAGCTGCCACTTCTCATCCTACGGCAGGGGATCTCGTCCTCTTTGCCACCGGTGGGGTACGCACCCCAGTCATCCTGAGGCACCTGGGAGAGAGCAGAGACAGGGCATGTCAACTGTGCCCTCGGGAACTGTGTCCTACAGTTTCTTAAAGATATAGCTCCTTTGGTCTATTTATCATTTTAAGTCATGCACACAGAAAGACATCCATTTTTACAGTCTTCCAAATCCTGAAAGGGTCTTAGTATGAAATCGTTGACTTTTTCCATTGTAAAAGTAAAAGACAAACATGGGAAAAGTGAGGAGGTACTAGGAACATAGAAAAAAGAAAAAGGGAAATGGAAGAGAAAATGATGATGATATTTACATTATTGCTAAATATCTTTTAGTGGTAAATGCTAATAAAGAAGAGGATTAATCCCCAAAGCAAAATCATATCACACACACAGAACACATGTACCTGGAGATGAAAGACATCCCTCAATCTCATGCACACAGAGCCTTATACCCTGCACACTGTGAATGCCAAAGATGGCTCAAAGAATGCCAGCTCTCAGCTTTTCTACTGTGTCTGGCCCGAAGGCTGACTTGGTCACTAGACAATGAAGCTGGTCAGCACTCTAGCTCCACACCTGCAACTCAAGAGCTCCCTGTGCCCAACGAGCTAAATCTCACAGGAGTGTGTGTGATGTTTCTCAGAACAGCAGCCCGCCCCTCAACTCAGCGCAGCTCCTCGGCAAGGCACATGGCCCAGTCTGGGCGATTCTGCCAGTAGCTACAAGACTAGTAAAGAGCAACTCTGGCTATGGAAGAGGGTCTTAGATGCTAGTGATGGAGGAGAATGACAAAACCCCACACTTAAGAAGTCCTCAAAGTGATGTTTTCATTGTAAAATGTTGAGATTTTCAGCAATATTCCGAAATTGGCTGGAGAAGGATTCTGCTTTCCTTCCAGCCCAGCACTGTATGAAGCCAAGCACTCTGGCCCTTCTCAGAGACCCAGATGGCCAATGGGATAACAGGCACTTGAGCAGAAGGCACCAGCGCTCCTCCCCGAAGAGCATGGTGTATTGTGCCTGGAGATCCCATTACACTGCAGACTGTTCCTACAGCTCGTCTCCACACCCGGAGTCAGGAAGAAAGGGAGCTGAGGCACAGGCGCCAGTCCCTAGGCTCTGTGTCTCTCGGAGCGCGACGGTGGTCTACAGACCTAAGTGGGGCTACCATATCTTCCATGCCGGAGTCAGGAGCCCCTCTGCATTCATCTCCCACTTTGTACCTCAGGCTGGCCAGGCGGATCTCGTAGTTACCACTCATCCTGTGTGGCACAGTGCAACATAATACTCACAAGATCTAAGAGGGCATTTCAGCGGGCTCTGTTTAGATATAGGCACAATGAAGGCCACCAACTTTGTAGCTAGGTTTGACACTGTTAGATACAGATCTTGGATCAAGGGCGGGGCTTAACAGACAGAATGCTAGGGGCTCTCCCTACTCACAAGCAGGGGCAGGTGCTGATGCTAACTCATTGAGTGCTTTAACATTTTGATGGCCTGGCTCTATGCCACACTAGCACAGGTCCGAGGTTTGATAGCCTGGCTCTATGCCACACTAGCACAGGTCCAAGGAAAAAAGCCGACCACCCCAAGAGGGCTTGGTAAAAGTTTTATGACTGCGTCAAAGCACAAGCCACACTGACCACACATTGGATCAGCTGAAGACTTAGGCAGACTGACACAGAGGGTTTTTGTTCAGCAGGTAATAGGTATTGACCCACTGAGAGAGAATCTTGGTTTACAGAGAGATACCGCGTCTTGATAGTGGCTATGCTTGAACACTGGGGAAAGGACATAGGGGGTGTGAAGAGCTCACTCTTGGGGTACCTGACAGCTCTCATCTGGTGCTTCAGTAACATCTATTCAGTAACATCACACTAGAAATTCAGGCAGAGGAATGCCATCTCTGTGGCACTTACCAGAAGAGCAGGGTGTTCACCCCAGAACCCATATCCCAGGATATTCACACTATGACCAGTATCCCTGGGTGTTCAGACCATGACCAGTGTCCCAGGATGTTCACACCAGGACCGGTGTCCCAGGATGTTCACACAAGGACCAGATGTTCACCCCAGGACCAGTGTCCCAGGAAGTTCACACCAGGACCAGTGTCCCAGGATGTTCACACCAGGACCAGTATCCCAGGGTGTTCACACCATGACCGGTGTCCCAGGATGTTCACACCATGACCAGATGTTCACCCCAGGACCAGGGTCCCTGTTTCTCCGCCAGGGTGTGCCAGCCCATTGAGGCTCTGTGTAAACCTTGTGCGTCAGTCAGCAGGACGAAGGAAGGAGCCAGGATGGCAGTGTGTCCTTGGGAATGGCTGCACTGTTTGAATTTCAGAAGAATCTGTGCTGAGCTATGAAAAGATGGTTGTGAAGGCATCCCTATCCCTGAGTTTCCTGGCCTCTCCCTGAGTAGCACAGGTGCAGTAAATTATAAAGAAGTCGATTTAATCTGTGGTTCTGGAGGCTCAGACGTCCAAAAGCATGAGGCTGGCATCTGTTCCGTGTCTGGCGAGGGCCTCTTATGAGACGGGACACACAAGCCTCTCCTTTGCCCCTTCTAGCCCACTAATTGCATCATGCATGCACTATCAGCATGGCTACGCCCAGGACACATCACCCTGAAGGGGTACCTCTGAACACCATCAGATGTGAATCTGAGGACTCACTTTCCAATTCAGGAACTCAGGGATGTACTCAAACCACAGCAGCGGGAAGACATAGAAAGCTGGCAGACTTGCCTCAGCGTAGGAGCACAGCAGTAAGGTGTGTGGCAGGTGTCCACAATGGGACGGGGGATAAAGGCTTTTCAAGGATTCCCCCATTGACTGACATTTCCAAAGCAGTCTGAGCTTTTCTAAGTTGTGTGTTAGTTTCGTCCGAGCCCCCGATGTCACATTTCAGAGGACGTGACGTCATTGGGGGGTGACGGATTAGAGTGTGATTAGCCTGAACGAGGGTTAAGGTGGGTGGCAGTTCCAGGGAAAGCTGGAGACTTGCGGCTAGTAAAGGCTCCTGAATGGGAGGTGTCGGGGGTCACCTCGTCTGAATCTGGCCCGAGGAACGGTGCAAGAAGAAGACACAGCATAAAAAGGGACTGGTGGCCAGCTCCTGGCTGGGCCAGGAAAGCTTGCATGCTTTATCTCTCAGTAAGCATTCAGGTGGTGGTTACAGGGAAAAGGACAGATGGGGAGAGAGGCCAGCTGCCACCAAAGGAGAGGCTCACACTGTCGGGTTTATGGAGAGGGTTGTTTTTTTTTTTTTTTTTTTTTTTTTTTGGTCTTTTGGAACCAAAACCATGTTTCCATAAAGAGCAAGGTAAAGATTGTTTTTTTTTTCCCCCCAGCAGCCTACAAATTAACTAACAAATGAGACCAGCTTGTATGTTTCTGTTTCTGATTTAAGAAGCCAATTTCACAGCCTTTGACAGAAAAAAAAAATTCAATACAGAAGGAGCGTAGAGCAGTCGATTTCCAGAGCATATGCCTGGGCTATGAAAAGCCACCAAGTCTCAGTAAATAAACCTTCCCCTTATGGTGGAAACGCTAAAACCCGCAGCAGAACGCAGAGGAGTGGCCAAGTGCGCACCTGGCACGCGCAAGTGGCAGCTTCCCAGCCTCCGGGAAACAAGCTTGAGGTAACCAGCCCCTGCAGAGCCAACCCCAGCCTTCGCACGCCGTGCCGAGCAGCGCCAATCGTTTCTATAAAAGGAGCCTTCTCCTGAGATTGACATCTGTGTGCGTTGTGCCGCTGTACTTGAAGCACATCTTAAACGCGAAATACTAAAACATCCTTTCTTTCTTTCAACTGGCAAGGCAAAGAATTTCATAATAAGATTCTCTTCAGGTGAACTAAAGAGAAATGCCATCCAAAGCCGTGTTCTCCCTCAGGAAACATTTTCCTCATTCCGTCAGCAACATGTGTGCGTGTGGTTTAAACAAGTATCAAGTACACGAGCCACAGGGGAGAGCAGCAGAGGAAGACAGCTGGGCCTTGCGTGCTGTGCACAGAGGACAGATGAATGACAGGGGAGGAGTCACCAGGCGTTCTGGGGACCCATCTGGGGAAGCTCAATCCACGCAGGGAGTTCTTTTCTGTGGCCCAGGGGTCCGAAGATGCTTGTTAGAAGGGGGTCTCGGGCAACCCCACCCAAGGAACGACTGCCTGCATTCTGCACAAACCTGAGTCAGCTTGCCTTGGGCCTTGCTAGGCTCTGTGTGAAAAGTCGGGCTTTTTGTTCTCGCTGGCAATTTTAATGAGCAATGGGTTTTATTTTTCTAGGATATAGCCACCATGTAAACCGAGGGGAACGTTGCTTGGTTGGCAATTCACCAGGAACTGTTTACCGTTTCCAAATCCCCCAGGGCTGGCAGAGCCTCGCTGGAGCCTGAGTCCTCATTATGACAAGCCTTTGTTGGTCTAATTTGTAACTCCAATTACAGCGACCCTTCGCTCAGCAACAAACATGAGAACACTTCCTTCTGCACAGAGCGGCTGGGCCCCAACATTCTTAGGTTGAAATACTTCTACTTCAAAGTTACTTCACTTTTATTTCATTTATCTTAGCGATAAGACCACATGCACATATCTCTCCCCCCTCTCTGTCCTATCTGCTTCCCCTGTCAGTAATGTGCATCTAGGTAGGTTACATGAGTTTTGTTTTAGACTGCTCCAAGAGATGTTGAATGTCTGCTAGGTAAGAATTACATGGGAAGAGAAAGAGAGTGAAATGTGTATACAGCATTAACTGTCAACTTGACACAGCACAGCCGAAAGGGCAGTCTCAACTGAGTAATTGTTTTTATCAAGCCATTTGGTGGGCATGCCTATGAAGGATTGTTAATTAATGTAGAAAGGTCTAGCCAACTGTGGGTAGCACCATTCCCTGGGCATGTAGTTCTAGGCTGTATAAGGAGGCTAGTTAAGCATGAACTAGAGAAAACAAGCAGGCAGGCAGGCAGGCAGGCAGACAGGCAGGCAGGCAGGCAGGCAGGCAGGCAGGCAGGCAGACAGGCAGGCAGGC